GCACAGTTCCCCAATTTTCCTTTTTGCTTCATGACACTGACACTTTTGAAGAGGTAAGTTGGATATTTGTAGAATACCTTTCAATTTATGTTTGTCAGATCATCTTCTCGTTGTTATTCAGATTATGATATTCCTACTTTTGGTAGGAATATCATAGAAGTGATGAAAGAATCTCAATGAATCACATCTTTTTTTTTTTAAACTGAAAGCTCTTCATCCTTCTCCATTCCTACTCCTCTAAAAAGTTTTAAAATAATCATTGTCATCCATTAGCATCTATTCAGTACTCTCTATGTATTTACATACACTCACATCTGTATTCAGGCACACACAAGTAACCTTTAAAAAAATCAACAAAAAGAGTACATAATGCTCATTTTCCTACTGCTATGCAATTTGCCTTTTTTTATTTAACTGTATGTCTTAGAGAGCATTTCATGATCTATCCAGTGCAGATTCATCTCATTCTTTAAAAGAAGCATTTTTTAAAATAGTATGTATCCTTGTTTATTTTGTCCCCTATTGATGAATACTTATTTTCCATTTTTCTATCACAATCTTTTGTGATAAATCACAAACATACATATAAGAACACAGCTAATTTACAATTTTGATACTATCAATAGCTTTCCTAAAACACTGCGACAACTTGTATTTCCATCCACCACATGTGAGACAATTTTCTATTTTCTGATTATTGGTGATATTGAGCACCGCTTATCATAGTTCATTGCCTTTTGATTCTTTTATTGTTTGTTTGAGGTGCTAGGGATTGAACCCAGGGCCTTGTGCATGTGAGGCAAGCACTCTACCAACTGAGCTATGTCCCCAGTCCCAGTTCATTGCCTTTTGAATATATTGTTTTGTAAAATGCCAGTTAGTGTTCTTTGTTGTTAGAATTCTGGATTATTAGTCTTTTTCAGTCTTACTATTTATTGTCCAGGTCCTGTCAGCTGACATCCTATAGAAAAGTTTCTCCTTTCCTCTGGGCAGCCAACTATTCTCTTCTTTGCTATCTTACAATACTGTTCACATTGCACCAGGCTTTCAGTTACCAACCATTCCATATTAAATTCACTTATTCTTAAGTGTTCACCTTATGTTTTTGGCCTTAGGCAAAGTTCTAGGTAGAGATATAGGATTGGGTCATGCATTGGGTTTATTATGTATCATATCTCTTTGATCTGCTTTAATGAGGCACAGTTCCCCAATTTTCCTTTTCTCCATCAAGGAGTTTGAAATGAACCTCAGAGTACAGAGAAGAACATAAATTTGGATTCAGACAAAACTTGGATTTGAATCCCAGCTCCACCACTTCTCAGTTGTGGGACAGAAAAAGTTACTTGACCTCTCTAAATTTCAATGTCCACCCTGAAGAAACAAGCTAATACTTCTTTTACAGAGTTATTTTTAAGGTAGGTGAGAGGCAAAGTATCTGAGGTGGCTAGCAAAGGCCTGTTCCATAGTAGGCTCTAAGTAAATTAATCATAATTGAAAGGCAACTGTTAAGAGATTGAAAGGATTAGTTTTAGGACCTGTTAAGAAAATGGAAAAAAGAAAAACAGAAAAAAGGTAGTTTTTCCTCTTTGCACTGGGAAGGATAAGAATGAGTCCTGATATGCCCCACTCCTACTCCCCCCATCCTACTACAGTCTATCTCCCATCTTGTCTGTCCTCTTCAGCAGGTTTCTGCTTTGTCCTGGAACATTATCCCAATTCAGCTCGCTATTGTTGACATAGGGCTATTACTACCCCAGAGGAAAACAAGTGCTTCCTTCCTCAAATAATCTCTTCAGAATATTTTCTGTAAGAGTACATGCTGCTGATGATTTGAAAAAGTGGAGACTAGAGACAACTTGAAGTGGAAAGAGAAATGCTGTGTGTGTGTGTGTGTGTGTGTGTGCGCGCGCGCGCGTGTGTGCGCGCGCGCATGCACATGCACACATCCATGTGTACTTAGGGGTAGACTTAGACTAATCGGACCAGGATTAAAGACACAACTCTGCCTTTCTTAAGTTACTAATGGCAAGTCAGTCTTTCCCTTCTTGGCTTCAGTTACTCTGCAATAAAAGATTAGATCTCAATTTCTAGAGTCTTGTAAATGGAGAGTTCACTATATAAAGACATGGGATGTGTGAATATACACCACTGTCCTTAGTCAGAAATCTGTATCCTTGGACTCCCGCAGTTTTTTATAACCATCTTAATGTCATGGAGCACCATACTTGCATTCTAGTTATTTGACATAGTTTTCCCATAGTCATGACATAGTTTTCCCACTGAACTGACAGTGGTGGATCCAATTCTGGTTCTTAGTTTCTCAAAGCCTATATACTTTTATTGAATGTCCTGGTGTCTTCTAGGCACTGTATCAGCTAGTAAACAAGAACAAAATTAGAACTTCTGCCTTTAAGGAGTTCCACAGTTTAGCTGGGACCCAACTTTAAGACCAATACATATAATTACCTTGACGGAGGTTTGTCCAAAGTATGGGGAGTCATAGGGAAGGAATGTCTGTCTTGTCTGACTGAATTGGAAGGTTTCCCTTAAGACCCAAGACTTCAGCTGAGTAGGGTGGAAAGTCAGGAAAAAGAACGTTGCTGCTGTGGGAGTGTTGACTGTAAATGCATGGATAAGGGGAATCAGTATGCTGGCATCTGCTCAGGATTCAGCATGACAGTGAACAGGTAGGCAGATGTCATCTTATGAAGTGCCATTTATGCTATCTAAAAGTCTATATGTTTTGATTCATAATTTAAGGAAGTTTTGAGGTGGGAGAGAAGTACATCTGTGTTGAATGCATGAGGAATGGTGAGAGAATGGAGTATAGTAATTGGATGTATTTCCTAAACTTGTGGCTGTTAGCAAATTATTTAACCTCTCAAGTCTGTTTCCTTTTTTTCTTCTGTGAAATGAGAGCTTTAAAAAAGAAAAACAAAGAAAACAATCTCAAAGGGTTGTTCATATTTTAAAGAAGGTATACTTGCCCTGTGTTGTGGTGCATGGATGTGGTGGTACACCCCTGTAATTCCAGTGGCTTTGGAGGCTGAGGTGAAGGAGCACAAGTTCAAAGCAAGCCTTAGCAACTTAGCAAGGCTGTAAGCAACCTAGTGATAACTGTCTCAAAAATAAAAAACAAATAAGGCTGGGGATGCGACTGAATGATTAACGGCCCTTGGATTCAATCCCTGATAAGAAAGAAAGAAAAGGAAAGAAAGAAAGAGAGAAAGAGAGAAAGAAAGAAAGAGAAGTTGGTTGTATTTTATCTTTTAGATGGAGTAAGCCTGGCCTGGCACTTGACAAAAATTCAAAAAATTCATAAAGATGGCACTTATTTTACCTATTACCTAAACACAAACAATTCAGAAATCTGTGACCTCATTTCTATGCCTGTTTGCTTATTTGCAAAATGGGCTTTCCAATTTCACCTGTTTATGGTATTTCCTTTTCTTTCTAGCATTTTACCAACGTTTTAATCAAAATTTCTAATTATTTTCCTTGTTAAACTCTTAAGATTATAGTCAAACTATCTATATTCTGTTTTTCCAGCTTAACTCTTGGCTCCATGAGACAAGAGATTTAAAAAATTTTACCACTTATCCTTACTTTCTAGCACAGGTTGGCTCTTAATAGATGTTCAACAGATGTTGACAACAAGAATAGAAGTCAAGCTTTTCTTGGAGGTCTGTTGCTAGGGGCCAAGGAATTGGTTAAGTGTTATTTGTAAGTGTGCACAGATGGGTTTAAAGTGTTTAAAGGGGTGTGAGAAGCAGAACTACAGCTAAACGCACCTAGCACATTCTAGTAAGTCTCCAGAGGCTTCCAACGGATCAGCATTAATTCCAATCTTTTTCAGCACTCAAGGTTCACAATGGGTTAATTTATTGCCTGGTATTTCATTAAAACGCGGAAGCCCCCCAGTGTGAACTACGTTCAACTGCAACCTACAAGGGGCAGGTAACCAGTCAGGGTTCCTCAGAGAATGGGCCAAGTAATTTGAAGCCAGGCAATCTCCACAGTCTTTTCCCTCGCCGAGGATTCTCGGGTCCTCCGCCAGCCCACGTTGCCGGCGGTGGTAGGCCCCGTCGCTGCCGGGCTTTGGATCTGCTCCGCGCCACGTGGCGCAGAGAGGGCGTTCCCTCGGCTCGAGAGGAGGAGGTGGAGACTGTTCTAAATCTCCCAGAGGCACCATGGGAGTCGTAGTTTTCTCGTGTGCACAGAAGGCGGGAGCTCCTGCCCTTCAAGTAACAACTCTCTCGAGAAAATCATCTAAACAAAATATTCTCCACAATAGATGTATCTAGGTAGTTTCAAAAGAAGGCGTGAAGAGGAAGGAGCAAAGCAAATAAAGCAAACCAAAAAAATTATCGGCGAGAAAGAGAAAGGGTTAACATTTGTTACGCATGCGTACAGAGGTCCAGGTGGTGGGCGGGGACGGAAGAACGACTGTCGAGAGCTCTGTTTTCCCGGAAGTGCCTTCCCTCCTCCCGGGTCCGCGCGGACGCGGCTTCCTTACCTCATTTGTCCTCGCCCCTCCCCGTCCCTCTACGCGTTTTGGTTCCTGGTTGGTGCTTCCTGGTCGCAGCCGCGGCAGTGAGTATGTGTGTGACGGACCCCATGTCTTCCGCGACCGGGGACCCTTGCCCGCCCTCCGCCTCGCCCGCCGGGCTGTGGCACTAGCGTGTGCTCCCTTGTCGGCCTCCGCACCCGGGTCCCTCTTCACTCGTGTCAAGGCGCAGTTCATGGCTCCTCATCCGTGTGCTGCTCCGGGCGGCTCGGCCAACAGGCTGGGTTGTGCGCGACTCCCTGCTCCTTCACGGCCTGAGGCCGTGGTTCAAGAAGGACTGGGCGTTGATGGTCTGCGAAGGGGTGGCTTTTCTGCCTATTTCACCTGACGCCCCACAAGGTTCCCCTGTTCTGGGAAGCCGGTCCGTCAGTTAAACGCGCAGGTCCTGCTGCGCCGAGGCCGAATCCGGCCTTTGAGGACCGATCAATCCCGGGCTGACTCCATCTACTGTCAGAAGCTGCAGCTACGGGACCAAAAAAATTGGGGGAGCTGAAATCTTTCCCTCGTGTAAAACAAGGAGACTTGAATTATATTCCCAAAGATTCCTCTTATCCCCCACATCTTGTTAGTCAATAGTTGCTTTAAACTTTAGGGAAAAGCTTCCGGTGCATTGGAAAAACTCTGGCAGCAGGCCTGGATTCTAGCCATGGCTCCACCACTGACTAGAAATCTCTTCTTTAGGCTGAATTTACGGTTGTTTCAGATTAAAGGATTGAATTAGAAATTGAATTAGAAAATCTTTTAGGGCCTTTATATTTCTCTGAGGACGTTTCTCCCAAGTATAAAATCAAAGCGTTTATTTGATAACTCAGGTTCCTTCAAAAGCTCTTGACTTTGTTTTGAGTACTTAGGCTGTCGCAAAGACTTCTGAGTGACATTGTATACTTAAGGCTGTATTGTACTTTGGGGACAGTTTAGTATTATTGCTATTATCTGGAGAATCTGAGGATGAGGAATGAATTGAGGAAGATTTGGAAGAGGGGATTGAACAAGGGAATGACATGGGGGAATGGGATGGGGATTATTGGACAGCTCACCGGGGAAGAGGCTTTATGGTAAAAGGAGAAGAGTTGAGAGAAATGCGATGGAAGTGTTTTCAGATAGGGTTTAGTTCTTGTAAAAAGCCTTTGTATATTCCAAGAACAGCTGAGATTTATCTCAAATTGAGCATAATTTTCTCATCTTGATACTGTGTTCCCTCTTTCTCTTTTTTATGACCATTGTTTCACACATATAGATCTTTAAGTCATATTTGATTTAAAGTGTCACATTTGAAAAATGGACAGGAATTTTAACCCCAGTTGTTGTTTTCAGGGCAGCACTAAAGATTAAGTCAGAATTTTTCAGGTTAGATAAACTATGTAGAAATCACTTCCATTGGAAACTGTGGACTTAAAATCAAGCTGTAGGGCTGGGGATGTAGTTCAGTGGTTGAGAGCTTGCCTAGTTGTTTAAGACTCTGGGTTCAATCCCTAGCCCTGCAAAAAGCAAGCAAGCAAGTTAATTGTAAATTTTATTTAAATCTGACTGAAGTGAATGCTTATGTCATCAAGAAGGAGCATCTTAGCGAAAACACTTTGGAAGGAAATAAGAGCAAAATGTTTGGAATGACCAGCAGGTAGACTGTTAGAATAGAAGCATTGGCTTTAAAGATTGTGTAAGTAAAGTCTGAAAGCTTAAATAAACTTAAGTTGTGTAGTTTTTAAAAATCCAGTGAATAAATACTACTCCCTTTTTTGACAGCAGTAGCTGTCAAAATTTATATTTGATATGTTATTTTAATTCTTCAGATGAGTTTTCCTCTATTTTAGGTTCTTATATAGAAGCATCCTTTTTAGTAATAGGATTGATAAAGTCTATCTTTGAGTTCTTGAGTGATAAACTGACAAATTTAAGTGTGTGCTTTTTCTTTTAATGAAAATTCCTCTGAAAGTTTTCATACTGCACTGAGAAGTAAAGCAGATATGCATGAGGTAAATTTAGGTGTTAGAGCCAATGCACATATAACAATCTTCATTTGAAATTTTATTTTGAAAATTTTATTTTCAAATCTTAGTGCTTGATTGAGAGTCAGAAAAGTGTGAATCATCAGTTCTAGCTGTATTCTTAATCAACTGCCTGACTTTGGGTGGGCTCCCTTATTTCTTATCTCTTTGGATCTCAGTTTTCGCATGTAAATTGAGGGGGTTGTGTGAAATAATCCAAAAGGTCCTCTCCAGATTTACAAGTTTGTGACTATCATAAGGGCCTTATTTTATCTAGTTGAGTAGATTTGGGAATCATGTCCAATGATCAAAAAAACGGAGAAAGCTTTCTGAGTTCAGGGATCTATCTGTATCTATATTCTTTCTTTCTCTCTCTCTCTCTCTCTCTCTATATATATATATATATATATACACATACATATATGTTTTTATATATGCATACATAGATATAGATACATTTTATCTTATGTTCATCTCTGAGTATGCTTTAAAAAAAATGCATTCAAATGTAATTAAAATAGTAACATAAACCAAACAGCCTGAGGCAAACCTTAACCCTGGCATACATAAGCTACATAAATAGAAGAGAGCATGTTATGCCTGAGCACAATTTTCAAGTACAGAAGGTACAAAATCCTCTTAAAGGCCATAGGGGCTAAATTGTTAAATTCATTTTTCTACATTTCAGGAAAGGAGATAAATCCTTAGACCCAAGGAAGTCAGTTTTTATTATGGTTCTGTAGTTTATTTTTGGCATACATTCACAGGTGTGCCTATGGCTCTATTCTTAATCCCTTTCCTTTGGGATGGCTCCAAGAGTAGTACAAATTTGTAACTCTGTAATTTAGCTCTATAATTTTTTCTGTGCTGCACTGGAATTATGTTTTATCTTAAGTCCACATTGGATCCTCAGGATGGATCCAGTGAGGATTTTGAAGGAAGCATAATTCCTTTGCCTTCTTTTAGAATTAATTTACCTATTAAATAAAAAGGAAAGGATTCATCTTTTATTTGAATTCCTCTGAGGCTAACATTTCAATATAAACTGATAAATGCTATGGGCATTATTATTCAGATAGTCACATTCAACTTTTATGACCATAACAGCATAGCAACCTAAAAGTGCAATAGGGGAACAGATATATTGTAACTTTTAGAAGTAAAAAGATAGTAAAAGTTGGTTTCTTTATTTCTGGAAAACAAAAGAGTTTTTGGCTCTTGTTCATTTGGTTTTTGGGTCAGCTGCTTTTATGACCAAAATCACCATCACAGTATCACAGTATCCTGGCGTTTTGGGCAGAGATGGGAAACTAAAAACATAATTATTCTCTCTTAATTGTATCTGTATAGCTGAAAGTGGAAAAAATAATAAATTGGCATCATTACTAGGGCATCCGTGGTGTGCTGTAGGCCAGACCACCCAACCCTCACCCCTGTAATAGAAATTTAACCCAGGGGGACTCTAACATTGAGGTATATCCACAGACCTTTTTCTATATTTTATTTTGAGACACGTTGCCCAGGTGGCTTCAAACTCAGGATTCTCCTGCCTTAGCCTTCCAGGTAGCTGGGATTACAGGTGTGTGCTTCCTTCCTTGCACAGTTTTTAAACAAACACAATTTGCTTTTCTAAAGCTCTCATTTGGATTAATATTCCATTATACCTAGTTGAAACATCTTTGTAGATTTTTGGTTGATGATTAAGAGAATTTAAGTCTTTAGAATGTTGAAAACAACTGAGAAATTATCTCCATAATTTCTATTTTTTAGGCACACATTAGCTCTATCAGAGCTGAAGAAAAATGTCTGAAAATATGATTCCTATTTATTCATTAATTCAACAGACATTTATAGAAGTCCCCCTAAATATCAGTTACTCTGTTTTTGGTGATACTTCGTTTGAAACAAAGTAACAGAGGGTCTTGCCCTCCTGTGGTTTCCAATCTGTTTCTGGGACATTTACATTGAAAAAGTAATTAAAAATGTGATGAATATTTTGAAATGTAAAGCATTGTGGAGACCTATAAAGAGATTTATAGTGGTATTAAAGCTGAGTTGGAAGATGAGCAGGATTTAATATGTGCATAATAGGAAAGTAAAGTGTTTTTTTGTATGCATTTATTCCCAAAGCCAGGAGTTTTACCTCAACTTCAGGTCTTTACTAAGTTTGCATTTCATATATGTTTTTATAACTAGCAAGGAAGTAAGTAGGTTTATCAGATTTTTAAAATATATTCTTTTGGCCAAAGATCAGAAGGCCATCTTTTTTTTTTTTTTTTTTTTTGGGTTTCTGGGGATTGAATGTAGGACTGCATGCATACTAGACAGGTGCTCTACCCCTAAGCTATACCCCTAATCCTTTAGATTAATTTTAAAATCAGAATAAATACTTATACTCAAACACTAAATATGATAATGGCTTCATGTTATGGATTCAATCATAGTTGAAATAATATTCTTGTATGACAGGGTATACCTAAAAAGAGAAAATAAAGAACCAGAACCAAGGAAGGGAAGATGAATGGGATAATGAGAAATATTTACTTTTTTTTTTTTTTAAGTACTAGGGATTGAACCCAGGGCCTCTGACATGCTAGGCAAGTCATCTATTACTGAACTACACCCTTAGTACTACTTAAAATCTTTTTGCAATTTTTAACATTTTGGAGAACAAGTGTTCAGTGTCAGGAGGTGGGTCTCAACCGTTTTTCTTTTCCAGTATACCTATGAATTATGATATTTCCATTAATAACTATAACAACTGGTTGTTAGTAATTCTCATTTAAGAGTATTATTCTCATTTGAGGGCATTTTTACATTGGGTCATAATATGATTTAGAAATTCATGGAAAAAAGCTCTCCTTCAAGAAAAAAGTATTTTAATAAGTTGGAGAGAAGTGTTGGCCTTCATATAGAAGGTTGTGCTACGGATTGATATTATGCACTAACCACATAAGATCTGAGCTTTTAAAATACCTTTTTTGTATGACTTTTCTCTTTTACAGCATTAAGATTACCAACTTTCCATGATGTTTGGTGGCTATGAGACTATAGAAGCATATGAAGATGACCTTTATCGTGAAGAGTCATCTAGTGAACTGAGTGTTGATAGTGAGGTGGAATTTCAACTCTACAGTCAAATTCATTATGCCCAAGATCTTGGTAATGCTATTAGGGAGGAAGGACATGAAGAAAAGAACTCTGGGAATTCTGAATCATCAAGTAGTAAACCAAATCAGAAGAACTTAATTGTTGTTTCAGATAGTGAGGTCATCCAGCTCTCAGATGGGTCAGAGGTCATCACTTTATCTGATGAAGACAGTATTTATAGATGTAAAAGAAAAAATATTAGGGTCCAAGCACAAGAAAAGAACCACAGTTGTTCTGCTTCTCCTCACTCTAATGAGTTGGCTGATAAGAAATCCAAGAGGAATATTGAGAAGCCTAAATCTGAAGAGAGATCAGCTATACTCCGAGAGGTCATGATTATAGAGGTCAGTTCAAGTGAAGAAGAGAGCACCATTTCAGAAAGTGATAATGTGGAAAGCTGGATGCTACTGGGATGTGAAGTAGATGATAAAGATGATGATATCCTCCTCAACCTTGTGGGATGTGAAAACTCTGTTACTGAAGGTTAGTATTATATAGGCCATTTTGAAAAGTAATATCATCCTTAATAAGGAGAACTGCTTTTTCTAGACAATAGACCAGTAGGGTCTGCTCCTTAATTCCTCACTTTTTGGTCTTGTTTTTCATGAGACTTTCTTACCAGAGTCTACTTTAATGGTGGTCTCTCTGAACATCAGAAAGAGTATGTCAGAGTACCAAAGACTCTGCTTCTGCTATAAGCACATTCATAGCTGCTGCTTCCTGTTTGGCTAGAGCCAGTTCTGGACCTGAAATCTTAGTTCTCTTCTCTCTCTGCTTGGTATCACAGGTGAGTACTACTTCTACCTCTGACATTGGCCTTGTGCTTGCATTTGGCCAAGTCTGTTGGGACTACCTCTTCCTAAGTGTTTTGCTTACCCAAGTGTTAGCCAGATAGCACGCATGGAGAATGATTGGTACTTAGAAGATATGGTTTTAGTATTAGGATTTTAGGAACTCCAAAGCCAGTAAGAGCAGATAAGAAAAACTGAAAGTCTTCAGAGTAGATTATAGGAGAGAATGTAAATTCCAAAAGCCACATCATTGAGGATTAAACTTTAGGTGTTGTCTCTTCTGTCACAAGTGTAAGTCTTAATGCCTATTCATCTGCCCTATATACTACTCTTGAGACGTACTGTGGTACTTTACTGCTGCTCCAAAACTGTAGTGGCACCCTGCCATCCTTAGAAGAAATGATGACATCAGGATCCTCAGGAAGTAGCAAACTTTTTTTTTGTAAGGAATCAGGAAATATTTTAGGCTTCCAGGCCCTAGGATATCTTAAACTATTTGTTTTAGTTACTTTTTTTGCTGCTATGACTAAAGGATCTGACCAGCACAATTATAGAGGAGGAACTGTTTATTCAGGGGCTCACAGTTTCAGAGGTCTTAGTCCATAGAAGGCTGACTCCATTTCTTGGAGCTCCAGGTAAGGCTGAACATCACAGCGGGAGAGGGTAGTAGAGGGAAGCAGCTTACATCACACAGGAAGCAGAGAGAGAGAAAGAGACACTCCACTTTCCAGATAAAAATATATACTCCAAAGCCACGCCCCCAATTCTCACCTTCTCCAGCCACATTCTACCACTTCAGTCACCACCCATTTAATCCTATTAGGGATTAATTAACTGATTAGGCTAAGACTCTCATAATCCAATCATTTCTCCTCCAAACCTTGCATTGTCTCACACATGAATTTGTGGGGAATACCTCACATCCAAACCATAACACTATTCAACTTTTCGTCTGTGGGAAAGCAACCTTAGTTCCTAAAGAAATGGGATGACTGTTTCAATTTTATTTGCAAAAACAGGTAGTTGGCACAGGCTGTAATTTGATGACTCCAAGAATTTGACAGCATAAAGAAAAAGACTAGTAGTTTCAATATACAGCAGCATCAAATGGAATTTTGTAAGAATAAAGGAAATATGATAATGTTTTTAGGAAGACAGGAGGAACTTGAAGAGAGTAAACCTGTTTAATGCTTGGGATAGTGAGGTGAGCTAAGAGGTGGGATTGAATGTCTGTGTCATTAGTCTTAAAAATTGCTAAGTGATCAGATATTTGTAGCAGTAGAGAAATAAGAAATTCAGATGAATTGAGGGGGATAAGGGAACAATATAAGTATATTTATGATTTTCATGGGAAAATGAAAGCAGAAGGGAGAATGGGCAGAGGATAACTGGGGTGTTTCACACCATAAGCTTTTGTTGTGAGAAGGATGTTTAAGTCCTATGGGGAGCACTCTTTGGCAGTGGTTGGTTCCTAATAATTTGAAGATGACAACTCCTTTAAAACAATTAGTATTTGGTAATTGAGAAAATGCATATTAGCAGAGAGATGCTAGTACTCTTTTAAATGACTTTCTATTTTATTAATCATGTTGATTGCACAGCTGAGAAATCTTTATACATATATGTGGGAGATACTTTAAATAATGTATGTCTCTAGGTATCTATTATAGTAACTAATTTTATAGCTCCCCTAGAGCCTGAAACTTATGGCTTGGAAATCATTGTGCTAACAGATCAACAGTAAGAGAATAAAAGAATTGCTTGGAAGTAGTACTCAGTCAAAATTGAAATAGTATGAACTTGTAATGAGCTCACTTTGAAAGTTTCCATAACTTTTTTTTTTTTTTCCAGGAATACTTGGTAGCCTGGAGCAAGGTAACAGAGACCAAATTATCCAGTATTAGGCATAACATTGTAGAAGGTCAAAATAAGCATTTAGTCTCTTCTTTCTCTAAATTGTGTTTCTCTAGGTTGACTTCCCGTGAGATCACACTTAGTTTCATTAGTCACTTCTATTATTTGGAATGATCATATTGGCATTTTCTTAACTATTTTCTTGAGTTCAAGTTCCTCATGTGCAATTTGCTGAATATCTCCATTTGGATATTGTACTGTTGTATCAGATTTAATATACTGAAAAGAAAGATTATTATTTTTCCTTTGAAACCAACTTTCTTTCAGTTTAAGAATCTGTAGAGAGTCAAGTTTGGGTGGTATTCACCTGTAATTCCACCTACACAGGAGAGTGAGGCAGGAGGATCACAATTTTGAGGCCAGCCTGGGCAAGTTAGGGGGACCCTGCCTCAAAATAAAAAATAAAAAGTTCTGGGGTGTAGCTTAATGGTAGAGTGCCTCTGAGTTCAATACCCAGTATCATCTCTAACCTCCCCCACCACACACCCACACACAGAATCTGTAGAGATGCTGAAGTTGGTGGCAGAGTATAGATAGATTGTGAAAAAAGGAATAAGTGCTACCTTCATGGAGGGACTTGGAATTGTCATGCCTGTGATAAATGATGGTGATAAGATGCCAAGAGACTGATCATCTAGACTAAAGAGCTAGTAAAGTGATGATGGATAGTGGATACACTGTGGTAGTGTAGCATGGGGTAGGGTGACCATTTTTCTTTTGGTTGAAAAAAGGAGTGTCAGAGCTAAAATTTCCATGAGAGTTAATTGCTTTTTTGGAATTGTTAGCAAAAGATAGTTTTCAATTAAAAATAAGGCATGTGGAGGTGATTTGTTTATTAAAATTATATTGTGTAAGTGTTGGGTCATGGAAATGAAGGGCAGTCTTAAAAGGTGTTAACTGTACAGTTTGGACACCCCCCAACCCCCCAAAAAGTACATGGAAATGTGGAAGGTCATTTATTTCAGATTGGAGAGTAGGGAAAGACTTGTTAGAGACCAGGATGTAAGAGTTGAGGTTTGAAGAAAGGACGAGAGGTGGGTTGAAATGGAAGGTTTTAGGAGAAGAGGACCGCACGTGCAAAGGCATTGCAGAATGAAAACGGTGACTTTGGGGGATGTGCAAGTATTTTAGTCTGATTTGTAAGGTGCTTGTTCGAGAGTAAGGAATTATAAATGCAGTGAGACCATGGTGCCTAGCACATAAGGGGACTTTCTGTGTCCATTTTAAAAAAATATTTTGAAATCCAGGCTGGTAGCACATGCCTTTAATTTTGGCTACTCAGGAAGCTAAGACAGGAGGATCATGATTTGGAGACCAATCTGGGCAACTTAGCAAGAACTTGTCTCAAAAAAATAACAATCTGAGGATGTAGCTCAGTGCTAAGAGCACCCCTGGTTCCTCAGGATTGTAAAATAAACAAAAACAAAACAAATTATCCTGAAATTTCTTCAGCTATTGAAGGATTTTAAGCAGGTGAGTGACATGTTCACATTTTTTATTTTAGAAAGAATTTTAGTGATATGTGAAAAATGAATTGCAGAGTTAGGAATTATCAAGATGGGGGGGTAGATGGGTTTTCTTTTGTAGCAATCTGAACTAAAAGTGATAGGGACAGAATTAAGCTAGAGAGTGGTAGAAAGGATAGCAAGGAGGAAATGAATTTGAGAGAGAGCTTTATGTGGGAATATGGATATAACTTGGTGTTGGATTAGAAAAGAGAGAGAGGAACAAGTTAATGATGACTTTGAAGTCATAAACCTGGGGAACAGAAAAAGGAGCAAATTAAATGGGAGCTGATGTGATAGAAAAGGGGATTCTTAGGACAAAATGAAGAATTGGTAAGATGGTGGATGTGAGGATGGAATAAGAGGCAACCGAATCTTGGAAATGAGGAGTCTAGAGGAAAGGAATTGATGGATTTAGTAAAGTATGTTTTAGAGATCAAAAAGAAGATTGGTAATCAGGTATATAAAAAAATCTCTGGCAGAACAACTTTAATATTTTGTGTTATAAATAAGCATATCTTCTTGAGCTACATTTTTCGGGGGTTATTTTTATTTTATTGAAGTGAAACATTACAACTATTTTATAGTGTTTAATTCCGTGGTATTTAGAGCATTTACAGGATTGTGTTATCATTACATCTGTTGATTCAAAAGGTTTGTATTATATTCAAGGGAGAGCCTGTAACCATTAAGCAGTCACTCACTATTTCCCAGCTTCCTCCAGTCACTGGCAGCTACCAATATGCTTTCTGTTTCTATAGATTCATCTATTTTTGATGTGACCTTTTGTCTTTTTTCACTTAGCTTAATGTTTTGGAGGTTTATGCATATTGTAGCATATATCAGTTCTTCGTTACTTTTTAAGGCTGAATAATATTCCATTGGATGTATATTCTGTATTTTGCTTATTTGTTATCTGTTGATGAATTTCTGGGTTGTTTCCACCTTTTGGCCATTGTGAATAGTGCTGCTGTAGAAATTTGTGAACAAGTGTTTACTTAAATACCTGCTTTCAGTTACTGGGCTGGGGTTGTGGGTCAGCAGGAGAGCGCTTGCCTAGCACCACATAAAAATAAATAAACAAAATAAAGGTATTGTCTACAACTAAAAAATAAATATTAAAAAAAAGATTAGAGTTACTTTTTGAGGAGCCCATAAACTGTTTCCCATAGTGGCTGTATCATTTTACATTCTTATCAATAATATGCAATAGTTCTAGTTAACTGCTTTTTTTTTTTTTTTTTTTGGTACCAGGGATGGAACCCAGGGGCCA